GAATCTTCATTTAAACTGGAATATCATGATAAATGGACCAGATTGGTAATAGCTCTAATTTTAGAAAACAGATGACTTTCTTGCGTAATTTGTTCTGATTTAACTTCATAGAATCATAGAATCTCAAGGTTGGAAAGGACCTACAAGATCATCTAGTCCAACCGTCCACCCATTACCATTGCTACCATGAGCTACTAAACTATATCTCGTAGCTCCTCATCCAGGAGAATACAGTTTCTTTCTCGATCTACAGCGAAAGATAATATATTGCCATGTTCAGCTGGCTAATTTTTCGTGAATCTGAAGGTATAGCAGTTTTTTAGGCTATAAAATATAGTAATTTAAAATATGACTAAAAAATTTTCTTTACTGACTTCAAAAACATGGGCTGGACCCAAATTACACATTCCAAATCCATCTTTATTCTTTCAAAATATTTCTGCATTTGAAGAAATGTAAGCATGTAATCACAAATTCTTTCTACAATTATCATTATACAGTATTATCAGTGATATGACATGAGATTTTCTATAACTAGTATTCAGAACAAATATTTAACTACTTATTATTTCATAGAGAATCATTCTATCAATTGTTTCTACTTTTGTAGAATAAAATGAATGTCTAGAGCCTAATAAATATTCTGATTTCACAAATAGATCATTTCTAGATTAAAAAATGACAACAGCAAATACAAAAACTCAACAACTACAAAAAAAAAACCAAACACACAAAAAACCCAAACACCAATACAACCAGCAACAGAACAAACAGACAACTACCAAAAAAGTCCCCCACAAAGGAAAATCTAAAACCCAGATAAAATCTGTAAAGAAACATAGGCAGTAACATCATCATCTGCTTTCAGTAACCTTGCTCAGTATTTGCAGTAGATGCTCAGTATCTATGCTCTCAAACTAACGGTAAGCTTATGTTTAACCTGAATACTAAGACATATCAACATAATACCATACAATAAATCAGGTTCTTGAGTTACTACATGGCCATTCCAAAATGCTTTTCAGAGTGACCACATTTCCAGACCTGTACCTTCTCTGAAGAGTTTCACAAGCTCTCATTCCTTTGCACCCTACAGAATCACAGAATCACAGAATTGCCAGGGTTGGAAGGGACCTCAAGGATCATGAATCTCCAACCCCCCCAAGAACACTTCTGTGGGCTTAATGCTGATATAACATTTCCTGATCTCATTTTGATGGGGAATGATTATTTCTAGATGAAAGGAAGATGGGCCAGCACACTTCCAACTGTTCTGGATTTTTTTACATTGATCAGTGTATGCTGGTACCTCTAATAGTCAATGGCAGTAGAAGCAGAGGCAACAGCTCTTGCAGCAGTTATTACCAGGAAAATGTAACTTCTTGTAGATTTTTAAATCTTTTCAAAATACATTCACAATTGCAACATCAGAATGGTAGTTCTACATTTCTACAGAAGGGTAGTTCTCATTCTTCAGCCTATTTCCTCTATCAGGACTTGGACACATGTGGTGTTTGTTGGTGGTCTTTCCTTCCAGCCATGTGCAGTAGGGACTGGGGGGGATTGGAGGGGTGTTATTTTCTTCTTCACAGTTTGAAATTCTTGGCTATTTCTACTCTTAGAACATTGCAGTTCACAAAACACACAAAACCACAGGGCATTTATGAATGAATTCATGTGGGAAATATGTGAAACAATGTTAAACAAAAACACCCTAGAGCAAACTAGTTGCCATTATTCCGCTATTCTTTTAATTGCACTCCCCATTATTTGTGTATTCAACCTTGCTACTGCAAATAGAAGCTATTTTTCTGCTTCATTTCCATTAATATTCCAAACGACTCAAGCTCATTTTTTCTTTGCATTTAGGGCACAGTATCTTTACACTGCACAGCCAAAGAGCCAAAGATATTTGAATGATAGTTGTCATTATAAAACATTTATTAATTTAAGTGTAATGCTAGCCTTCTCCAAAAAGGAAAATTAGAACAAATTGAGTAAGAAAGCATTCCACTTAGTGAATCCATATACTTGAAAACACGTCTATAACATCAGAGTTCCATATGCCAAGCTACAGTTAGTACAGAAGAGGCCTCAATAGGATGTCAATACCAGTACTCTGATTCACAGATGATCCCAACCCATGTTCCCCATGGCAGGTTGCCTAGTTGATTTTCATCCATTAACATCCATTAATGATAATCTACCTAGAATGTACCTAAACGACTGTAAAGCTTTGAGTCCCTAGGCAGTCATCTAGAGAATTTTCCTTTCAAAGATTACTAGCCCTCTTCCTTCTCCCCAGTGTGTCACAGGGATGACACAAGACAGTTACTGCAGCTGTTGCATTTGGCAACTCCAAACTCACTTGGGAGCATTCTCCACTTCCAGGAGACAGAATGTTACTTGCTGGGACATTATGGTATAAAAAGAAACTATGAAATACAAAGAATTGTCAACAATCTAGAAAGATCAAGACCTCATAGTTCAGGATTAATGACCATTTTTCTTAGTTGTGTGGGGTTTCCTTTGAGATATTAGTGTCAATGAACTCGCATGCAGATAGCCTTTGGGAAGTGCTTTCACCAGTGAAATCTGTGTTATGATGGCTACAGGATGGGTAAAATGAGTTTTGTCAGAAATATCAGTGCCTACGCCCTATATTTTTGTAAATTGTACATTTTAAGGTGTAGCAAAATGTACTGCTATTAAGCAGTTCAAGGGAACTAGACCTTTGATTTTAGTGACTTATGTGCATTTATGCACTAATTTTTGAATCTCTATGCGAGTTTCTTTATCCCACAGCCTCTTGAAAGAACAAAATGACTCTTTAGCAAATCAAATCTTTATAATGAACCTTCAAAAGAAATCTGGAAATTTACTTTCCTAATTATCCTTTCTGCATCATGTTCTTGTCTTAAACATCTTCTCTAGCAAGCACTCATATTGTGGTTTCCAGCTCTCAATACAAAAATACAACCTTCTTATTGCCACTGTTTTTAGTGAGGAGTGCCCCAACCTCACAGATGACTGCATATCTAAGTGATGCAGATGTCATACAATTCCATGGATTTAAAATAAATGTGACTATTTTAGAATAAACTTCTTATGTAGGATGAGAATATCTTAGAAAGTATTTACCAGACAACCGATAATTTCTTTCCTCAAGGTTCAACTGCCTCTCAGCAGACATTACAAGATGTTCATATGAAGTTCTCATTTTCGCATAGGAAAAGTAATCAAACAATTACACTCACCAGAATATGAGCCTGGTATCTTAAAATATTTATGCAAATGTAATAGAGAAAGAACACTGTAGTTAGAACAATGTCTGTAGTTAGATTGACTTAGTCGCAAGATTAAAAAAAAAAAATCACCAAGGAAAAGATATATGAGAATGGATATTATTCTTTAACAAAAAATAAGAAAAATGCCTTCCATAGTAGGGCTTAAATGTAGACATTCTGGACTGGCTATACTGACTTGACAACCTATTTTACAGTAGCAGATTTCAGTGATTTTATAATCACAGACAATGCACAGATTTATAATAATGAGGTGTCAATGTGAGGAAGAGCAGGACTCAAAACCATCATTTTTTCAGACGTTTTCATGGTGGCATATGCCATGTGCAGAGAAATGTGAGCAATGTCTATTAAAGCGGGAACATAAGTTATTCAAGCACTCTTGGGATATAGAGGACTCAGACTGCAGAATAGAAATATTGCTATATTTCATAAACTGGAACATTAAACACAAAATCAATTTGATTATGGAAAAAGAATGAAGATAATTTTGTGTTTCAATCAAATGTCATAAATTCAGTTCCAAACTCTACGCTGCATTCCTTTGCTGTGCCAGGGATTACATGCTACTGAAATCTCAGTCTGCAGATTCTTGAGTCCATCCTTCTTCAGAATGGAGAACAAATTGTCTTAATCTAAGTGAGGTCTAATATCCTCATGGGTTGTTACTAAATAATAAGCTGGTTTCTTTCTGGAGGTAATGGTTTAGGAAGTGAAGGCTTCTCACTATGAAACAGTTAAGGAACCTATAATCATTATGGTAAGAGGAGCAATACGAGATCCAGCTATATAATCATATTCAACTTTCTGACATTACATTTCAGTTTTAATTACATAGAGAAAGATTTCTGATTTTGGCTTCAATCTCTGTACTAATGGTGCATATCAACAGCTGCTATGAAAAATTACAAACTGACTGTGAGTTGGCAATCTCTTTTTATATTTCATGAAAGAGTTGTGGAATTTAAGGGGAACATGAAACTCTCGCTCCACCATCATGCTGTAAAATTTTCTTCCTTAGGCTCGGTCTAAATGTATTGAATCACATGAATAGATGAGCAAAATGCAACCTGGAGATGGAAATTACTGGATATCCATCAATCACTGTATATCTCAGATATGATAAAATGCTTTCATTTATAGAATCAAAATGCTTTAGAAACCAGTTCTTTAATCATATTTACTCCTAAACTGTTGTTCCTATTTCCTGGATGTATTCTGCAAATCAAATATTCCCTGGCCTATTATTGCAGCCCTTTTGGCAAATTCTGTTTGAGTGTACCAACATGCTTTATTCTTCTATATTGCCCTTTATCATGGCTTTTTTGTGAAAAACAAAAAGTCCCTCACTGTTCAGTGCTGTAGTACCACAAACACATTATCAGTGCCTGGCAGGTAAATAATCCCATGAATTTTTATTCTTGCTTGCTTTAGATGTAAATCCATCTTTCTCATAGATTTGTTATGTGGACACAGCTCATTTAGCAAGCAATAGATAGAATTCTGCTTCTCAGCAAATAAAAGTACTCATTTCCCAACTCTGTGAAAGTGATACCAGAAATTGGCTTAGAATTATCCTTAAAATTCATCCTAATCTTGCAATGAATTTTAAATCCTCCTTAGTTCCAGTTTGATGCTCTTACAGGACAAACTCTCAGAGATGCTTGAAAAAAAAGAGTGAGGGAGAAACAATACCTTGGTGCTTATCACTGGAAATGGAACTTTTGAGCCCTTTGTAGCTGAGGATGTCAGCTTCTCTGCTGGTTTTGAAGGGATTCGATGTATAGCGGGAGGCTGATTGTGCAGAACGGAGGACAGGCAAAGCTGCACAGTGTCCTTGAGAGCTTTCAGCTGTGAATCCTGGGGAAAACAAGAAAATATCACTTCTCTGAGATGTGTTATTATTAATGGAACCACTTGCTTTATCTTTTTGTATTAAGGCTAACATTTACAAACAACAGCTGCTATTTCTTTCCATTACTACTAGCAGAATTATGTGTTTTTTATATTAAGTTACTGTACACTAGACACCAAAATACCTAGAAAGTCCTTGCATTCCCTTTCATTTCTGCATTTTATCTATATTGGTTATTGCAAATACTTACTGAATTCTATTTTATCATTAAAGGAACAAATATATCACCTACCAAATCTCATCATGTCCAGATTTTTACATATAATATTTAGTAGAGAGAAGTAGATACTAGCAAGTACTGCAAAGACATAGACTTTGCATAGAATTTTGCCTATAATGTTCAGGCTAATTAGTATTTTTCTACATTATAAGGACTGATTTTACTCCCACAGAAGGATAACTGCTCTCATGTATATACATATGCTTTTACGCTGTATAGTAAGCCATAGACCTTTCCACCTGTTAAGACTGTGATTTGTCCACATCCATCACTGTACTTTATGCTGATCTACACCTTTTAATTGGTGAACTGTTCTCATAATTACACGATAGTGTCTGTAGCTTGATCCATAATACTGCTGTTTTACTCATAAATACAGTTGTACTCATGAAAGCAGCAGTCTGACACTGAACAAAGTTGAGGCAGTAAGAGCAGTGAGATAACTACTCACTGAGGAGGTCCCATTTTAAAATCTTTGTTCAATCACTACAAGCCATTTAAAGAATCAAATATTATTTATTGCATTTATCACACTTGTCTCAGGGGGAATTAAACAGCATTTGGCCTTAAAAAAATCTTGCTTTTGTTCTTTCTATTAAAAATCTGCCTAGAAACACATAATACAACCACATATGTTGGCCTTTAAAGATTTTTTTGAAGGACTCTGAGGTATATCGTGACTAAAGCTGATGAGAAATAAATGTATATGTAAAATACGGCATACTACATTTGTCAAATATTATGTATACAATGTAAAAATATTTCACAAATATGAATCATGAGCAATGAGATATGGTACACAAAATCTTGTTTTAATTTACTTGCTAAATGAGTATTTTTAGATCCTATGTTTTATGTCAGATAAACCTGCACTAAATTCAAATAGGGAATGCATCTTATAATTGTGAGGCTCTGAGAAAATCAGCAAACATTTAGTAGGGAATATTTCCCTACTTTTATAGAGAAACTTTTATAAAAAGGGCTCTTCCAGAATCTGAGGGATAGTAGCCTCTTGACCCCAGGAAGAAGTTAAGGTAGCGGTGTTGGTCCTCAGAAATTTATCTCCAGATAATTTCCTCCAGATAATTACTTATCCTTTCACCCCCCTCTCCTGTCCTTCAATGCTTGCTTTGCCATGGCTATGGCCAGTCATAAATACTGTCAAGATGATATGCATGTCTTTATATTTTCCTCTTTATACTCTTGAGACGAGACAGAATTGGACCTGTCAGGCTTCCCAGGATCCCATCACGGGAGTTAAAGAAATGCTGCAATGCGAATACACTAATGTGAGACATTAAATCTATCTGCACAAACAATACTTAAAGCAAATATTAAAAACAGAAGTGATACCCTTCCAAAAGTATAATACAATTTTTATGCCAATTTATAGCCACATTTTGAGACTCAGTTACTCAATTAGTCTTTTCCAGTACAGCTCATGTTCTAAAAACACTGCTCTCTCTGCATCAATTCCATTCCTACTGCATGTGCTAACTTCATCAACATCTTCACTGCACTCATCTCCAACTATTTTTAGTTCATAGAGAAAAACTCTTGACCAGGGCAGACAAGGTATTTGAAAATTTAAATGATCTTACTACTCTGCAGTGAGAATAAGCATGGGCACCGTGTCTCAAAGAGTTTTTTCACAATTCCACATGTATGAGCTTTGCACTTTTCGTTCTCTATTTCCATGGCTCTTTCTCATCACAGAATCATAAAGCTTGGAAAAGACCAGTAAGATTACCAAGTTCAATCTTCAACCCATTCCATCACCACCATGCCCCTAAAACAAATGAACTATTGATGCCATCCAAGGACTTTCTCAATGGTAATTTACCAGATGATTCCAGTCCTCTGGAAAAAAACTGAAGAATTATAATCTAGTCATAAATTAAAATTCCATAATGTTTACTAGGAAAGAAACATAGGGTCAGAGAAGTCAATTGAGTGTGTTGCAAGTCCCCATTTAATTTGCAGACTGGTTTCCTTAATAGCATTCTCATTAGAAGTTTCTGATGTCAAATGTTCTTTGCTTTCTCCTTCGCAGCTGTCCGCATTACAACGAAAGCGTATATTTAGAAGATTTTTTTGCCAAATATTCTGCCCTTGTTATTGCCATAGACAGCAACTGGCACTAGTGAAAGAGCATGCCTGTGAGTGTGTATGCATATGTAGAGTGAACACACTTAATTACCCAATTAATATGAGGAGGAGGTCAATTGAGTGTACTTGCAAGAAACAACTACTACATCACCAGCAATGCACACAGGTTTGGATAATGCTCCTGTGATTACTGTTTATGTTGAAGAAATTTTGGAGGTAAGTCCTCAGTCAAAAGGAGGATTTCAGTTACTGCAATACTGATAATATACTTTAGTATACTTTAAGTATACTAAATACTTTAGTGAAAAGGTAATAGTTCTTTAGAAGCCTCTGAGATCTTTTCAACCTGATTTTTCTCTTCTTAAAAAATCTGCAGCTTTATTTAACATCACACAACGTGATTATTTCCAATGATTTAAATGACTCCCAAGCGCGTGCTGTTAAATACATACCTAAACTTCTGCAACATTTTCACTTGTTTTTATCAAGTTATGTATAAATATTCACAGCTAATAAACATGCTTACATCATGTTACACTTCCTACCTTGTCAAGGGCTGCCTTTTCCAATTCATCTTTTGCAGCTGCTAGTTTCTGTTCCAGATCTGTTAGCCGTTGTGCCTGTGGGAATAAAGAAGAAAAAGCAAACGTAATCTTGGTTTTTTAAAATAGTAAAATTTAATAATATTTAATAAGATAAAAAAATTACACTGTAATTTTTCATCCCATAATTTTTCATGCAGCACCTGAGAGGAAGAAATGTAAACTTTATGGGTAATATATATGATTTAATTCAGGAATGCTTGCCAAAAGACAAAAGAATACTATTTTCCCCAAAGAAAATGCATATTTTTATGTGTGAACTTGGGTCTGCAGCATCTGTATGAATGCAAGTTTACTTTTTAATTTCTGTGCCAGAAGCAAAAGTAATTCCGTGCTATAAAGTACTTACAACTGTGCCACAGTATTATTCTGAAAAAATAATATTCAAAGATTTAATTAATTGGTTCATTTATCTCACTTCTTTTTCTAATTAAGCACAGGATTTTGTTATTTTAAACAAGATATTAAAATCAATGTAGGCATAGAACAGAGAAATCACCCTCAAACATTCACAGACATTGAGCCCCTTATGAGATGCCACTGACTGCTGGTACATAAAAGGTTAGCTCCAAATTTGTTTCTCCACCTTCTTCCTTTGAGATACAAAAGGAACATTCACAGGAACAGTGAGTTATGTAGCTATATAGTGAAAAAGTATTTGGGGAGCTCTGGATTCAAAGTCAGCATTGGGCACCCAAGTCTGCACCCAGTGTGGGAAGACTGTTGCCTTTTACATGGCGCAATACTGTTTGCCTGCAGGGTCCTTTGGGAGGAGACATCTCAAGAGATGTTGCTTGCCAGCATTAGGCATAGGTTGCACTGTCTGATAAAATGACAAAAGCCTGCCATTCATATTTCCCTGACCACATAAAGAACAACTCAGTCACATCTTAGAAACGGATCAGACCTCAATCTGGGAATTAATCAGAGCCATGTTTTTGTTACTAAGAAACCTGTATGGTTACGCCATATTGCCTTCAAGCAGAAGTCAATCTCTTGCTCAGATGCAGGGAAGCCCCTTGTGAATGCGTTCTGTAATTTCTATTGCACCACATTTCTTTGAGCTGACACTAGTCAATGCCACACATGCGGAAAAGAATGGACTGCTGGTTTAGCTCATCAGCACACAATACAGCAGCCAATATAGAAGAATTCACTGATTTCACTTGATTTTGCATAGTTTGCCTGGATTTATCACATAAGAGGAAAACACTTCTAAATTTTTCATATCATTAACATTTTGATTCTTGGTACTTATGAAAATATTTTTTCCCTAGTTATACAAATTTCAGTTTCACAGAATGAGAAACAATATTTGAAAAACAGTACGTATAATTAAATAATTAAATCATTTCAATTTCCATTAAAAAGGAAATTATGCAAAATAAAATTTTCATGGTAGATGAGAGGCCAGCATGGCATCTCTGATAGCATACATCACAAAAGGTTTAGGATTACAGAGGATGATGGATTGTGATGTCCATTCAGCACCATCTCTGGAATATCAGAGGATACAAATTTTGGGTTGTTTGGTTTTCTTAGACATGACTTATTAGGTAGCTGGAAATCTAGGTAGCCGATACGAAGAAGGTACCAAGAGCTACAGGGAAAACGCTACTGCTTCTTTCTTATCACAGCAATGTATGGCGACATTATTCTTGGTGAAAATGCAATCATATCAAAATGAAATTTGAGGGAAAGTATTTCATTTATTTAATGGGTGCCTGCCACTAGAAAATATGAAGTATCTTACATGGACTGAAAACACTACTCACATTAAGCAAAACATTTTCTGTTTATGGTGGAAAGGACAAAGGTATGTATTAATACTCTTCCCATGTGCATCATTTATCAAATCTTATTATTTTTTGTGATATCACAGGATCTGAATGAATGGTCTTTATCTGCATTTTTCACATATGTTTGTTTTATTTCACAGATTTCTGAATCAAAAGGCCACTGATTCAATGGAAATGAAGTGACAATAAAATTCTGGCATTAAAAATGTTTCTTTTCTGGAATGCTCACTTAAAAGTAGTGATGTTTATTTACATCTTGATCCCTGAACTGCAGAATGATCAATTTTTTTTCTGATTTTTTTTTTTGCCTGTGAAGCCTGAATTCTTATTGCAATTATTTGACTCTTATTTTAAGTAAAAATATTTTGAAGGAGCCTGTTCAATTAATGCGGCCTAGGCCCTCCATAAAGAACAAGTGCAAAATACAAGGCCAGTTTTCATAAAGAGGTAAAAACTTTTGCAAAGCTTGGTCTGGGAAAACTTAAAAATATCTTTTCTCTTGGGCATTCTTGTAGAATATTCAATGGCTCCATCAGGTCCTACTGATAAAACTGAGATAAATTGATTCTTCATCCCCTGAAAGAATGCGATGAGCAATTACTGTCTGTCAAGTGTACTTTTCCAGATCAAAGGAATGTATTTACCCACCATGAATTACATTACACACAGTGCCCATACTTAAATTCTTCCAGGCATAATAAATATTAAAAAATAAAGAAGAAAAAGGAGGGAACGAATGTGATTTCAAGGAGAGAGAAATCCAAAGTGATGTCAAATGTATTTCTAGCAAATAATTGAGACCAGAGTGAGTTTCTACAAATACCAAAACAATGTAAAGACAACGCCTGTATGTGTTTGGTATTATGATTTTGGATGTCCAAGACTTTATAATTATAATACCTATATAACAAGTTTCAGATGAGGTGAGGGACAAGACAACATGGTTACAAATAATGCACATACATTAGAAATAGATGTAATATTTTCAACTCACTTTTATTTTACAATAAGCCTTAAGGAAGTGTTTGAAAAATAAAATACTTAGTGTACAAATTTTTATTTTATAATTTATTATATTGTATAAATAAGACTAAATAGGACAACTTTTTAATTGGAAATCACTTAACTGGAAGATGGAACAACTGCTTAATTGAATAAATTATCCAGTAAACAGAAGCTTCTGCGCTTATTCTGTAAGCATTATTAGTATCCTAGAAATGCATAGATTTGCCTTTCTGAATTGTACTGTTTATTGCACAACTGTACTGTTCTCAGAAGATAAATGTAACTGAGAATAGCACTTTTTGGTAGCTACACTATTTAATTACACGTGAACCTTACGTATGACATTCAGGAACACTGAGTTGTATTTCAAGCACTTTTAAACAAGAATAAAAATCAGTTACAAATAGAATTTCTATAAAATCCCACAGATTGTACGTTTTCTTGATGCTCACTGCTGCCTCAAGACTTTAATCTCTCATTCTAAAAAGGAAATAAGGCCTTTGTCAGTTTAGTGGAAATTTCACTTTACCTTCCCCAATCCTCATGCTTTTCCTTGACATTAATCCAATTGCAATAAAAGCAAAATGGAAGTTTGCTGGGGGTGTTACTGAACTACTTCAGATTTAACTAAAGGAAAATAATTATTTCCCTGCAGAAACAAACTCAGAAAGCATACAGGCATAGAAGTGACATCACTAAGGATGTTTATGCATGGTCTTCTTTTTAATTTTTTTTTTTTTTTAATTTTAAACCTCTCTTTTTCCTGATATATACTTACATGAGGAGTATCAATCCTACTATTTTCTCTGACCCTTGGGCAGTTTGGACTTATTCAATGCTTTACGTGACAATATGTTTAAGTTTTTAAACTACTGGGCACAAACAAAAGCTTCATTATACTATTCAGAAAGTGTCAATGTCCCCATCTACTTCAATCTGATACTGATAGAAAAACTGCTCATTTTGGTGAAAGCTGGACTAGTACTGTAAAGTAATTGAGTAGCTGAATGCTATTCAATGCCTGTTAAATCTAAAGCTGCAATTGCTAGATTTAGTTAAATTCAACTCTCTTTCATGCTGGCTATTGAATAGCCTTTTCACTCACAGGAACTCAGATTAGCTGCTTAAGATTGCATTAATACCTAATGCAAATCCACATTCTTAAGGCTAGATCCTAAGGGCCAAACATAAACTTTCCTAATAGAAATTATCAATTCATTAGAAAATTCATAGCAGTTTTTTAAGCTTATAACCACATCGTAAAAAATCCTACCAACAATGAGCTAATGCAACTGACTGACTAATTACTGAGATAATATTCACATTTCATGAACCTGTGAAACTGCATGAAACTATTAAAAAAAAGAACAGTAGAAGATTTGGTTGAATAAAAGACACCAGTAAATGATGATACAAATACATCATCTGAAGGTGTTCAAGCCCAGGATGGATGGGGCCTTGAGCAGCCTGGTCTAGTATTAGATATGGAGATTGGCAGCCCTGCCTGCAGTAGAGGGGTTGGAGCTTGATGATCCTTCAGGTCCCTTCCAACCCAAGCCATTCGGTGATTCTATGATCATCTAACATCCTTACCAGGAAATATATAAAGGGATAGCACTCTTTCTTACATGTCATATATCATTATATCAAAAAATTTCCTGTGTCCGCAAATGGCATTGGAAATATTTTTTCAACATTTTCTAGACCCTTAGTCTGCTACCACATTGCTAATATTAACACATTTTTAATAATTCTAACATTACTGAAAAAAATATATACAAATAACTAAAATACAGCATTTGAAATAGAAAATATGTAATAGCAAAATATATGTTTAACAGTGAAAACTTCAAAAGGAAAAGCCACAATCTAGATAAGACTTCTAAGTACACTTTTCTGAGGCTTGCAAGTAACACTATACTGCTACTCAGGAGAATAATAATTAAAAAAAATAAAACAATAAAACCTATCACCACCAAAACTCAACTAGTCAGTGCTTTTTGCCCTACTTCAAAAGGAATCAAACTAAAAAAAACTAAAAAAAAATAATAAAAATCTTGCGCTTCATGAAAGCAAGTACTTAATCTACAATGATAGAAGACACCAAAATATCCCTAAGCTAGCTCTCCTATCTCAACAAGATAGTTCTCTCAAAAATAATCAATCTTTTCATAATCAATCTATCAGTTACCAAGAAAACAAATCAGCCAGGTA